CCTCTCTTCCTCACACCCTCGGAGGGTATCAGCTTCACCTGTAACCCCATCATACTGCTCAGTCGCTTGAAACTGTCACTGTGGTGGTAAGGCATCCCTAATTCACTGTTACATAACTGATTTGTAGGATTTCATAATTACCTACTTCAAATTCAGGTCATCTCCAAGGTATATGAAGAAAATTATTGGGGAAGTTGCCCCAAAGAAACTTTTCTACACTAGAGCGTGTCTATTCTATCGCATTGGCTCATCTGCTCTGAAGTGCAGAATGGAGCAAAGTCATCCGCAAGCTTGAGACGGTATGATTTTGACCCTGACGGGAAGAAAGTTATTATTACACATTACAGTTTTCTGTTAGTCCATCATTACCCTGGCTCTTTTTTTCACTTGATAAGAATAGTTTGCATATCGCACTTCAACTTTTCAGATACATTTATTTAGTAGTTTTAAGTACACATTAAAACTAAAATGGCTTTAAAAAACCCCACAAAAACTGGCAGATCTATAAAAGGATAATTTTCCTATGCATTTGCAAAAGCTTTCGATCAAATATAAGCATATGTATAAAATGATATGTCTAGCAGGTAAATACAGATTGTAACGCAGTTGCTATTGCAGAATAACTGCTCTTTCTGCAACAGGAGAATGACACAGGGACAAAGAGAAACACAAGATTCCTTTGCCCGGTCCCTTGCCTTCCAGAACGGTGCTGTGCTCTGGGACAGAAAGCTCAAGGTTCCAGCCAGATTGTTCTTTCAGAAACATTTCCCTTTTAGTTACGTATCACAGATATCAGAATAACACTGAGCTTTGAAAAAATCTGCTGATATCATCACTTTTCGGGAGAGAAGGGAGACTCCTCCCCTCAGTGCTCATGACTGAGGTTATCTGTGTGGAAACAGGCTCCTGGTTGCCTAGGGATTCATTGGCTCTTGGCTGTTTGTTTCCCACTCTACTTGAAGCCATAACCTCTGTCTGCTTGAGATACCATCATTCATCTTCGGAGTCATGGGGTGTCATGCCACATAAAAAGAGTTATTATATAAAACACCTTTCAGACATTCTTATCAAGTGAAGAAAGAGCCAGAGTAACGGTTTAGTGACTAACAGAAAAGTATAACAGTCATACACAACAGTCTCTCTGGCCACTTTCTTAATGTAGCTTCTTCTTTTTTTTTTAAAACCAAAGAATTTTATAAGGATTTTTTTTTTGCAAAGTATTAAAGTAATACATGCTCATTGTAACAATGCAAGTGATTCAGAGTTATATAAAGTTCCATAACCTTTCTCCTTCTCACTCCAACCTGAAGATAACCCATATTATGCCCAAGATAACCCATTTTAAAGCCTGTTGTGTATCATTCCGTGTTTTACTAATATGTTTATATAGTCTTATTCAAGTATACATAAGCATAACATATCTCAGTTTTGCAATACAACCTATTACAAATCTGGGATAATCTCATATTGTTCTGCAATTTGCTATTTAATTTAACATTATCATAAACATCTTTCCAAGCCAAGATACACAATTTGACCACACTGTTTTGAATGGCTGCACAGCATGTCACCCTATTAATGTAAAAAAAAGCTATATAACAATTTCTTTGTTGATGAACAATTACAGTGTTTACCAACTGCTTGCTATTACAATGTTACAGTTAAAATAAACCAGCACATATTTTTCTATGTATTTATTATGCTTTTTACTTCTATAGGATAGACACCTACATGCGGGAGTGATGTCAAAGACAAGACACATTCTTTTTTTAAAAAAAAATTCTGTCCATACTTTCCCAAAAGACAGAACCAACAGTGTTAGTGTGTGACCTTTGCCCAGCAACTTTGCTAATGCTATATGTTATGAACCTTTCTACATATTGTCGACCTAGAGAGTGCAAAACAATCAGGTTTTGTAATGTGCACTTTCATGGGGCCAGTTGAAACATTCAGCTGTTATTTTATTGTAGCTCTTATTTTTTTTCTTTCTTTTTTTTTTTTTTTATCCTCACCCGAGGACATTTTTTTCCATTTTTTGTTCAGATAGAGTGGGAGGGAGAGAGAGGAAGAGAGAGAGAGAAACATCGACGTGAAAGGGACACATCGAGTGGCTGCCACCCGCACGACCAACCAGGGCAGGGGACAAACTGCAACCGAGGTACATGCCCCTAGCGGGAACCGAACCCGGGTCTCTCCGGACCGCAGGCCGATGTTCTAACCGCTGAGCCAAACCGGCCAGGGCTATTGTAGCTCTTATTAAAAGTTATATTCATCACTTGTTAAGAGGCACCGCATTCTTTTTCTACATTTCTTTTTAAAATCCTGAAAGACACAGACCTTGTATACTATTTGCTTTGTAAATGCCTTGTGAAAGCACAGATGTAAACTTACCTAACAAGAGGGTTAACATCGCAATTCTGTTATATGAATTCAACTACGGATATTATCTGAATTACACAACAGCATTCTAATTTTTAATCATCTGAACTAAGCGTCAATCTTAACAACTTGGCTATCAAAATCAAATTAACAAAATATTAACAATCAAGAAAGCAACCAAAACCTGCAGACTGTCACTAAAGGATAATATGCTAGTGATTATAGGGCTCCTTTGAATTGAGGGATAGGAAGGCTTATCTGAGATGATAATAATAAAGACCTGAGTATCAAAAAAGAACCAGGTGTGTGTAGATTAGTGAGAAGAGGTATGAGAAGGCATGGTCAAGGAACAGCAAGGCCAATGGGTCTAGAAAATAGTCAGGGTAAGAGATAATAGCAGGGTAGGAGGATGGACTGCAGTGATTGCAAGTGAAGCAGATAAGAAGTAGAAATCAAAAATCTTGTTTGCACATGTGAAGTTGGACGCCTATTATATATTCAAGTGTAGATGAGGTTAATCAAACCAAGAAGTGACTCCAGGGTCCAGGAAGGGGCCAGTGTTCAGGATATGGATTTACTAGACATCGACATCAAGATGCTATTTAAAGGCACTAGACTCAATAAGCTCACCTACGAGTCATCTGGAGACGTGAAAAAAGACAAAGGGAAATACACCATCACAGTGAAGCACGAAATGTTCTTGAAAATATAGTGGTGTTACACCGTGATTTAAAGATAGGACTTTGAAAATTACATCTATCTAAAGCTTTAATATGCAGTATTTTAACTATACTGAGTTACTCATAAGGTAACAAATTTATATTACAATGGCAATAATGACCCCCTAAAATATCGTTGAGTTCGGATATTCATGAGTGAGGCGGTACATTTAAGTGACTCATGTTTACAGATATATAGACACAAAACATTTTGGCTTCATGAGTAAACACACTAACTGTCACAAATTTATTATGTGGTGCATATAAAGTGTTGAGTAATGAAAGAAATTTTTTAAGGAAGGTTTATTGTGTAAAACAGTAACTTAGAAACATGTTTAGGTACTTTGATTCCTAAGTCCTCCAGAATCAGTGCCTCCTTATTGTGTACCCTTGTGCTACTCTCCCCTCTCTCCCAGGTCCAGCACAGCTGAGCCTTTTAATTAGTCTACAATAGGTTTTATTTCATTTATTCAACTTATTAAAATGTTATATATATAAATATATATATCTCAATTAAAATGTTGACATCTAAAATTTTTTTAATCCCAATTTAAAATTTGAAGAAGGCTTGAAAATTTACAAATTCCATGACCTAACAAAAATGAAACAAAACAGACTACAGCTAATTTTAATCTCTTAATTAATCTTACATCATGTGATTGGTTCTTGGAGTATCACTTTGGAAATTTAAGAAATTGTTCAACACTGTGCATCATAAATATCCAATGTATATGTAGTTTCCAGACCCCTTCACACGTGTGTTTCTTCTGGCAATCAACATAATAGAAAGGATGACTATAACGAAATTGAAACAAATACACACAAAAATTCACTCAAAGATCAGTTTTGTTTTGAAGCCATTAAACAAATGCCAGGGATTTCCCAAGCAAGTAGATGAAACTCTTAAAATACCTGATGGCCTGGAAAAACAGTATTTATATATTCAATACAAGTTAAACTTCTTGATCCATAAATAAGCAATTGTAGCAGATACTCTATTTCTATGATTCATTAAATGTATGTTTTGTAATAACATACAGATATATTATAAATATGGTCTATATAACATCTTGGTTAAATCTAAGTACCAAATACACAAAACTTCATGAATAATGATGGTATTCTAAAGAAAAATGTAAAATGAATAAAGCAGTAAAAACTGAGTAACAAAATGAACTTCAGAGAAATGTAGTTTCTCCGTAACAAACCAGATAATGGAGAAGCAGTTTACTTTTAAACAACCTTCAGGTTCTGATGAGCATATTCATAAAATTAGCTGTTTATGAAAAACTTAGCTTTCAACAATAGCTAAAATAATCTTGTTTCAAATGTCAGGGGGAAAAAAGTAGCTGCAAAAAAAAAATGGTAACTACAATTAAAAATAACTGTTTTAATATCATTTTAACTCAACTAAATAAACTTCATGGTCTAAAATTTTAATTTCAAATCCCTGTTTCATACATGGTGATGAAATCAGGATAAATAAAAAGAGCAAAGTCTATACTTTACTTTTTATAAATAAATATATGAAAACTTGAAAAGAGAAAAACTGAGTACTGTGTATTTATTCAATAGTAGAGGAACATCTAGTACAGTTTTAATGCCACATATGTAGCTATCTCATCACTCAACATGAGCTAGATAAACAAATAAAACTAAAAGAAACATGGCAATGATTAAAGAAATATACTCATTAGAAAATAAAACAATGATCAAAGTAATAGTGTGCACACAGAATTCAGAGGGGAGTGGGAGCCATGGCAGAAAGAGCCTGCAAGGACAGAAACAGAAAAAAATGACAACAAATAAAGTTGAGGTTACTTAAACAAACAGCACACTTCAACTGAAGACAATGGCCTCGTTGTTAAATTGGGGGCTTCAGAAAGGGAAAGTCTTACTTACCTGAGTGAGGAACAGAGACAGCACATACAGCAAACAAGAACAAAAGGGAACTTGGCTTCCACTTCCAATGACAGCTCCACATTCGACCTACGTGAAACATCCTGCAATGAAAAAAGCAACAATAACGACCCTCAGAATTCAACAAAGCATCGGGACAGTCGTAGTAAATGTATAGGTTTCCCGCAGGGACCAGCAGATGGAAACCTTCCTCAGTCTTGTTTCTAAACAGGGATGATGAACCAATCACCTCCTTGAGGCTAGTTAGGCCAAAGGAAAAAAAAAATCCATTTATTTTACTTGCCACCTGGTGGCACCTTCCTTATCAGAGAATATGTAATAGGTGACAGCCGCATGAAGACGGAGAAATATTCTTATAATTCAAGGAAGAAAAAATCATTTATTAAGAATAATAAAGCAATTTCAGCTTCAGAGGTTAGCATCACCAGTCACATGACCATCTGGGTGGCAAGAGGATGATTATATCAACATCCCCAATAAGCTCCCAGAAATTTGAACGTTAGGGAAATATTTTTATTTTATAACATCTGCTTCTTCACAAATGGAGATAATTAAAATTAAATTGTCCGTAAAATGAAGCACTGAAGCATTAACATCAAAAAGATTTTCTTTACCTAGCTATCAATGTTTTCATATGGCTAATAAACACCAAGTATTATAGAAAGTAGTAAGTGACATTAGATGGAGGGATGGTACTTTGAAAATTCTCAAATAATTCTTTGTATAACTAACGGTTTAATGTTTTTAAACTCAAAAGTATGCTTAATAATGATTTAGACAGGAATAGTCATATTATCTTGTCTCAAAATAGCGGTTTGATACCTTTCATTGACTCAACCCCATCAAAAGAGGCAAGCCAGAGAAGGGGGCAGCAAGTATAAAAGTAGTTACCAAAAAGGACCCTAAATGGACTGGTGACAAGAAAATCATGAAGCAGGAGGACAAATAAGTAACAGTAAGAAATCTCCAGATCTTAAGTCCACAAAGGGAGTTGGTTATTTTGGTCATAAGTGGTAATGGAGAGTCATTTTGCTTCTAAAAAGAGGGAAGCAACTAATGAGATACTTCAGGGTCACAGTACAAACCAGGAGTTAGGGGTGCTGCTTGCTGTGCAGTCAAATATCCATGCATAACTTATGACTCCCCCCAGAAAACTTAACTACAGTTGTCTCTTAATATCCGCGAGGGATCGGTTCCAGGACCCTGCAAGGAGACCAAAATCCACACGTGCCCAAGTTCCGTGTATAAACCGGTGTGAACAATGCATGGAGTCGGCCTTCTGCCTCCCGGATTCCCCACCGCAGCCCAAAGATGCTGTTTCAATCTGAAGTTGGTTGAATCCTCAGATGGGAAATCAGGGATACAAAGGACTGATTGTATATATTTATTTTTTTTAATCCACATACTATTTGACCCAAGCAGTTCAAACCCATGTTGTTCAAGGGTCAACTGTAATACCTTCTTTGCCTGAAGGTGTCTATCTGAAGTAAAATACAAAATACTAAACAGAATACCAGAGAAGTGGGGAGAGAAATACTCAAGCGAAAACAGACATCAAGTGATTCCCGCACCTGCCTCAAGCCTGCATTTTACTGTTACAGATCATATAAGCAGCAAAGGGAACATCCCCTAACGTCAGACTGACCGGGTTTGCTACTACTAACCCATGTAATCCTTGGGAAACTTACTTGACCACCTTGGGCCTCCTATTTTTCACCTGTAAATTAGGAACAGAAAATGAAATCTCATCCGTAAAGCTGTTAGATGATTAAATCAGACTATGTCCTTTAAGGACAGTGACTGACACTCAGTAAGAACTCAATAAATATTAGTTATTATTATTACCATCATCCTAGACATTCTAATATAAGTGTGGTTATTCTGTCAACAGTGAAATCAAAAGAAAAGACTTAAACAAGTATGGACAATAGGATTAATGCCATAAGCCAACTCCAATGAACTGACTTTGTGGCCACGTCTGGGATCAACTGAGAACAGAAATAAAATAAATACGAAAATGTCAAGTGGTGCCTCAGATTCATGCCATGTTTTTATATTCACCAAACTACAATTTCCAGCAGCATGCAGCTCCTAATGGAAATTCTAAACTAGAGAAAGATTAAGGTCTGAAGATATTTTTTGTATAAAAAAGTATGTTTTCAAATACATCCCTCCAAAATATTTGAAATTAAGAGCACTGTTCTTGTTTATGAGGAGCAATCTGTAGAGTAAGTCATCATCATAATGGATATGAACTCGGGAATATCCTGGAGCCTCTATTCACTGTGTGCTTTGGGGGGCAAAACTCTGAGCCTATTTCCTCTTCTGTCAGTAGGATATTATCCACCAAAAAGAACAGAGATAGCACTACATGCCACAAAGTAAGGGCTTTACAAGAAGTAAATGACAAACTTCTGTCACATGGAAAGTTCACTCATTGGGATGAATGTGTCCATTTCCCACTGATGCTGGATGAATGAGGTGTTTCCCATTCATGCTGAAGATGAATGAGTGTGCTTCTGAGATAAAACCCCAGTTATACATTCAAAAAAGTTTAGATCTAGGAAGACCCAAAATGAAGTCTAACCTCCTCATTTCACAGAGGATGAAACTGAAGAAATAAAGGAGCAGACCAATCAAACATGGCTTGGCGGCCTTATAGATATTAACAGAAGGGTTAATATCCCTAGAGTCGGCCCTAGGGAATGCCCAGCTTCTTAATCTTTGTGGCATGTGACAATTCTCCTCCATCAATATGTGACTAAAGGCCCCCTTTTCAGTTCAAATGCTCTCTAAAACAGGATTCAATGAATTACTTTCATTAGCTTGGCAACACTCGATACTGTTCATTTCATGGGCTCACATAACTTTCCTGAACTATGAAAGGTTCTGACAGTGATGGGTTCCAAATCCAAACCTGAAGCTGTTTTACAAAGATGCCTGCAGTGCTGTCAGACCACCGAGGGCTTGACGCAGTCCAGTTCTGAAGACTCCATCATTCTGTACAGAACGAACACGGGACGGGGCAAGTACTTGCAACCAAACATAAACCATATGACACGCCAACTTTCATCCACTTTACTGTTTACTGAAGAGCAGAAACAAATAAATTAAGAATAGAACAGAGGAAGGAAAGCTCTGTGTGTCTTCTCAGGGGATCATTTAGCAAAGACACGTCCCTGAGATTTAAACAACTTTCTCACAAGAATGGAAAATCCCAAACAGGGTTACTAGGGTTCTAAGTAAGCACTGCAAAAAAAAAAAATAGTACAATCTGTGTCACTTGGGCTGTGGCCTCGAAGTTCCATTGAAGAAAGCAAAAATATTTTTCAGGAAAGGAGAGTCACAGACTTCATAATCTGAAGAATCTCAAAATAACACAGTCAAACCTATCTCACAGGTGACAACTATGATGCTAAACCACTTGCTCAAGAGCATAGATCAGTGGTGACAGAGCCAAAGACCCACCACTCTGTCCCTGCCATCCAACTCCCCTGTCTTTCTGAGAACCAAACTACTTGGATGGCAAACCTGCTTCTCCTTTTCCATCTGTATAGGCCACAAAACAATACACTTGAGTCCTGCTGTCTCAGGCAGCTTGAAAACTTAACCCTTTCATAGGAATGTTTTGTTGTGAATCCTCACCTAAGGATATGTTTTCCATTGACTCTTTTAGAAAGAGTGGAAGGGAGGGAGGGGGGAGGGGGGAGGGAAGGGGGGAGAGAGAGAGATGAGAGAGACATATCCATTGGTTGCCTCCCACACTCAGGGACATGGGACCAGGGAGCCAAGTTCCGGCTCATGACCCGGAATGGAACCCGAAACCTTTCGGTGCACAGGCCGAAGCTCTGACCATTGAGCAACCAGCCAGGGCCATGGGCATTGTTTTATATGTGGGTATAACCCTTTGTGGACATGACTGAATGCAAATGCATCACTGAACTCATCTACAAAACCTATCACCTTTCATCTTTTTGCTCCTTTAAACATCACAGTTTAAAGAGAAATTTGTGAAGAAATGTGGAAATTGGTGGAGAAATCGATATGCTATGAGTTCTATTGATACCAGCAATAATTAGAATTAGCTGGCTCTCCACATCCCAGCTGTATTTCTACGGCAAACCCCCGCGAAGGGGCGCGAGGAGGGCCCGGAGCACACTTAATCTCTCCCGAGTAAAAACAATGGTGAGCTGGTTCATTCAAGTCTGCTCATAATTGTATTTATTTCTTCTTCTGGCGAAAGATCGTGTTCCTGAGCCTCAGCAATGGATGAAAAGGGAACGTGCTATTCTATGACTCAAGATCTCTTACTAAATTGGGATCACCTCGCTTCAAAAAGGCAGAAAGGTTAAACTAGTCTCCAAATCTGCATAAATATTGACCCTTGCTTTAGCTGTAACATGCAGGCTCCCTCGAGCCCTGGCTGGTTTGGCCCGGCGGTTAGAGCGTCGGCCCGTGGACCACAGAGTCGCGGGTTCGATTTCGATTCCAGTCAAAGGTGCATACCCGGGTTGCGGTTTGTCCCTGGCCCTGGTCAGGTTGTGTGGGAGGCAACTAGTCGATGTGGCTCTATCACATCGATGTTTCTCTCTGTCTCTCTCTCCCTCCCTCCCACTCTATCTGATAAGTAGAGAAATATCCTCAGGTGAGGAATAAAAAAGGAAAAACATAAAATAAAAGTCACCCCTGAGAAATATACATACATGAGTACATGTAATTGTGAAAATATGCCAGTGTTTTGTAAAATGTTACTATCGGGAGAAACTGAGTAAAGGGTACGCAGGATCTCTTGGTATTATTTCTGACAGCTGCATGTGAATCTACAAATACCTCAATAAAATTTTCAATTAAGGAAGTAAACCCTAAATCCCTGATGTATGTAACTTACTCTCAGATATTTTGTAAAAAAATTACGTGTGCGTGCACGCGTGCGTGCGCGCGTGTGTGTGTGTACAGGGTGGAGGAAAGGAGAGAGGAAGAAAAATGATAAAATAAATGTCAGTATTTATAAGTGATTCTGTATAAGAGTATACAGGTGTTCTCTGTACTATTCTTGTAACTTTTCTGTAGATTTAAAATTATTTCTAAATAAAGTTAAATACACACATATGCATTTGCACTAAAGTGTATCAATATTTATCTTATGACACATTCATTCCTATTGAGTAAATCATTGCCAATTTGATAGAAGTAGTGCCTCATTTGGATTTCCTTTATTTGGATTGGCATGTTCAAGTTATTTGCAGTATTCTATTACAATATAAATGGTTTTCTTACTGTCTGTGATTTTTTTTTTTACCAATTCTAAAGTATGTTTAACCTTTGACATACTTGCGACGATGTTTTAAATACAACAATCTTGAACTAATCTTGATTTCCTTAAAGAAAACTGAATAATTCCATCCATAGTATTGCTTATAAAGGAAAGTAGGATGATACTCAGGTAGCCACACTTGAGTTTTATTAGCATTTTTAGTTACAACTGAAATGTTCTTTAAATGTTATCGCCTCAGTATGCATCCAATGTAGATAATGTAATAATGTCAGCCAATCAGAAATGCAAATGGAAAGATACAGTTATTGCCCAAGCATGCCACACACATTGAACAAAGTCTTTTTCTATTTAGTCTAAAGTCTAAATAGTCTTTAGAAACTTTTAATCATCCCATCAGAAATATAAACTCTGGAATACATGGGCAGTTTAAAAACGGTCAGGTTTAAGGAAGCAGTTTTAAGTTTACTTTTAATATATAAACTAATTCTCTTTCAAATCATTATTTCCAGAAATCAGAGTGACGTGTCCAGTTAGGCAGTAAAACTGCAAGCTTCTAATATTTCCCATAAGCCAAGAGACAATAGCCTCATTCACCATTCACATTGGAAAAGCACAATGTCATGTAATTTATATAAGCCATAAATGGAACAGTAGTTTTATGAAGCTTGCGACCAATTAATGCAAGTCTTGTTAAACCTACTAAATTTCTTAAGGTATGAAAAACATGCAGTCACCACAACTCCGAAATACATTTACAAAAGTCAGTACGTAGTAATTTCAGAACTTGAGCATAATGACCTATAAATACCCTTTCTCTACAAACAGTAGGCAGAAAATATACTTAGTTTGTATACTTGAAACTATTAAAATTTAACAGGTAGTATAGTTTATGTTTCTCATTTTAACTTTTTTCAAAACAGTAGAAATATTTACCTTGGAAAGGTTGGTGTTATTTCCACATGTTCCAACATACTAATATCTAAAAAGAATCTGATCATCTTAAGCCATTGCATATGAATTAGAAACAGCAAAATGGACAAAACCACAGTTATTATCTAGCAAGAAATGGGGAAAACTTTCAGCAAACACAGCTCAATAAAGAACTCAACCAGGGTACTAAACTCTATATTTCATGTGATTAAATATTCATACTTTCACTCTATAATGACATAAGATTTTTTAATCATGTTCAAATTCAAGTGGGCTATATACCTTCATTTCAAATCAGGACATTTTTCCCATTACCTGTTGATTATTTTCACATCTTTTATTTTAAAAATTGGTATTCACATTTTATTTTTATGTATAACATGCTCCCCCCCCCCCATAAGATCTACATTACCTAGGAAAGCTGAAAGAAAGCTAGACAAATATCTGCTGTTAGAAACCCTACTATATTTTCAGAAAAAAAGTGAAGTTTAAAACAAACTCACATTCGTTAAAAATGTGTCGCCTTTATATGAGCACAACTCTTACATGAGACTGTTGGCTGTATCCCAAAATAAATTATTTCAGGCTATACCTTGACAATTCCACTGGCATAAATAAAACTTTAAAACTCACAGGTGGGAATGACCTCACATGCAGTTTTAATTAAATTAAATAGTTCCTTTCTAATTATACTGGTCACTGCCAGGAATAGAACTACAGAGTACTAGGCTTATGGGCATTACTCTTTTTCCTAAAAATGTGTACTAAGGGGACTTGGAGGTGAAGGTACAAGGAAGGGAAAGACAGAGAAGGTGTGGGGGTGTGTGTGTCTTTTGCCAGGTAGTAAATGTAAGAAGAAATTTAAATAGAAATAAATAAGGATCCAGGGGTAGGGCGGTTTACTATCAAGTTCTAGAAACTCTTGTATCTTAGTCAGCGGAAGGGAGAAAACTGTCTATCAGGGTGTCTGCCCAAGGTTAAATAAAACACCAGAGGTAAAATTACATATTACAACTTCGGAGTTGGCCACAAAAATAAGCTTGGCCCTTCTGAGAACAACCTTCCTTTTTTCCATTCTGGAAGGCCAGGCAGGCCGAGCTCGGTTCCCCTTTTTACGGGTAGTTCTGAAGCACCTCACCACTTAGATGCTAATTCCATAGAAGCAAAACCTATTATTAGGTTTCGCTAACCTTCTCTTCGCCCGGTACCCTCCCCCGCACTTCTAATTCTATACAAGTCCCCCAACCGATCCCGTCACATAAATGGCATATTCCCTAATTACTTTTTAATCTACAAAGTATAAACCAAGGACCTTTTCTGCCCGCTTTTTAAAAACCATTCTAATAACCCAAAGGTCCAAGAATAACTTCTGCAGCCAAGGGTGACAATGTGTAAAGTCAACATTTCCCCGCAGCCCCGTACCTTCCAAGCCCCCAGGTGTCGGTCCAGGAGAGCGCTCTCTGGGCTGGGCACGGCGCCTGGACGGGGAGCTGGCCTGCTACTCCTGGTTCAATTTGAATCGAAAACACGCTTTCCCCATTCTTGAAGCCCTGCCCTTTTTTATTATGCTTTACACCGCCCAAATGTGAGGTTTACCTCTCCCTGGAAAAAAAGCAAGCCGCACACACATGTCACAGCTCCTCCTGGCAAAACTAGCTCACTCCTCAGTGCCTGGGGGCAAACTGAAGACAAACCGGTTTATTTTGTCAATACGGTCGAAGTTCTTACAAAATCATGGGGGTGGGGGGGGCACGCAGGTAAAGGTGTGTTGGAATTCTGCGATGCGGGAGGAGACTTACATGTTGGCATTACTGCACGGAGGTCCCCCGGGGCTGCGCGGTCATCCTCCCCGGTCTGTCCCGGCGGCTGCTCCCGGCAGACCCTGGCGCCCGGGCCGAGCGCGGGGGTCGGACCGCCGATCACGCTCTTTGCGGGGAGCTCATGGGGCCCCGCAGCGCTCCCCGCCCGCGCTCCGGGCCGCAAGGTGGAAGGCCGGGCCGCGGGGTTCGAGGGCGATCGCGGCGGCGAGGGGCAGGCGGGCCGGCAGGTTCCTCTTTGCGGAGAAGTTGAAGCAAAGTTGGGGCGAGGAGGTGGAGGCAGCTGGTGCTCCGGGCCGCCGGCCGGGTGGGTGGAGGGGTCCGACTCCGCAGGTCCTCGCCCCGCCGGCGCGAGGCGGCACGTGGTCCCCCGTTTGTGGCTCCCCCCAAGCGCCCCCGCCTCCCCGCGGGCTCAGCTGCTCGCGGGCCGGTCCCCTCCGCCCGCGCTTCCGGCGCCGAGCGGGGCCCGCACTGGGGGCTCAGGTGCGGCTGCCCCGGCGGCGCGGCGTCTGGCCGAGCCCCGGCCCGGCGCTGCCCCCGGCTCTGCGCTGGGCGGCGGGGCCGTCCCGCAGGCGCAGCCCCACCCCGGAGCTGCAGAAGCGCGGAGTCGCGCTCCGGGCACGGGCGGCCAGGGGGGCACGGGCGAGGGTGGAGAGTGGCCTCGGGCCAGGCTCAGCTCCCAGGCGCTGAGGGGACGGGCAGACCTGGTGGTCACCCGCACGCAGGTCGGGAGCCCTGAATCTGGAGACCCTCCGCGCACGAAATCAGAAGCTGGAGCGCAGGAGGCGATGCGGGCAACCCTCCCTGGCGCTGGGGCTCTGCGCCCAGCCCACCCGTCAGCGCCCCGGACTCCCCCGCCAAGCTCCAGGCCGCTGCCCCGCTTCTCTTTTACTGGTCTGCGCCTTTCTTTTCCGCTCTTCCCTTTTCTGTTTCTGCCTCTTCTCTTCCTCTTCTTTTCTCCCCCTCCCTCTCTCTTCCCCCTCCCCTCTCTTCTCTCTCATAATCAGAGCGGGGAGTCCGTCTGTCTTCAGAGCACACTCAGCCACACTTGACCATCACCACATCTTTGGGCCCTGGGGAGAGAGGGGGTACAGGGGTTGAGTACCCCAACACGCCCGTCTCCAGCCAAGGACGAAGGCCAGCTTTAAGAGCTGGCTGAACAGGCGGCGGCTTCAGGACTCCTATGCCCACCACCGCGCCCACCACCGAAATAGACCCACTTGTTTGTTGACGCCTGTATGTAGTTGCACAATAGAGGCTCATACTTTTGGCTTAGAATTTTGTATTCTGTTTAAATGCATCTAAATACCCCCAACTGGTAAAACTTTCAATCTTTGCCATTGCCCATGATTTGAATTATTCAAATCCCTTCTAGAAAGAACTGGGGTGTGTGGAGGGGGGGGGTGCATTGCTGTGTAAACAGCCTCAAGGTCTGAGAGTGGGAAAGCCAAACTTGGCAGGAGTAGTGACAAACTGCCTGGTCCACGATTTGGCCTGGGACCCTACTGCCTGAACACTCTGCTGTTTCACTGGGACTCAGGAACAAGGCTACATAAGTCATATTTTTCTTTCCAAGTCTGCATCATAGAAGAAGAAGAAGAAGAAGAAGAAGAAGAAGAAGAAGAAGAAGAAGAAGAAGAAGAAGAAGAAGAAGAAGAAGAAGGAAGAAGAAGAAGAAGGAGAAGGAATATTAACAAGGGGCTTGGAAGATGTTTAAATAACATTTTATTCAGCACTGTTGATGCAAATCGACTTACTCATTTGCGGAAAGTCCACTGCCTGAACTCCAGTGCTTCTCTAAAGTAGCTGTTCAGCAAACGGATCTGGACACGCCTCCTGAAGACCAGAAGAGAGAAGAAGGACTCACACTTGTCACACTTGGAAAGAAGTTCCCTTCCCTTTGTGTACTGCCAGAATTAATCCACAAAATGCTAGAGACAGAACTATGAACCAGAACTGTATACACCTTCAGAGCCAGAGCAGCCCAGCGTGAACTGTGAGAGTGCACCTGCATACATGCACACATGCACAGGCCACACACAGAAGTGTCCCCCGAATTATATAACATTGATATGCTAGTGATAGGGAACTGCTGGGTGGAGCAAAAGGGGTCGAGCAGCACTCGAACACAGACAGCTATGTGCAGAGAGGAAGCTGGAACACTGCCACTAGATCCATGGGCTTGAAAATCCAGGGTGTGTTCTTCTTGTGACTTTTATCAGTATTTATGCTGATAAATAAACAGTATGATTAATGGAGACATTGAATTGTAGCACTTAAGGGAAACTCCAGTTCCTCTGTCCAGCCCTCTCGTATTACAGATAGGGAAATGAGACTCAGAGACGTGAAATCTGCAGACTACCTGCAAACTTGACATGCAAACCAGTGTCTCATAGAATTTTATTTTTAAGGCAAAAACCTTTATTGGTTCACAGTTCTTAGGTTAAAGAATATGAGCACAGCTTAGTGCCGTGTCTCTCATAGGACTGCAAAGGTGTTGGCTGGTGCTATGGTCTTATCTGAAAGCTTGACTGGGGAGTCATCTGCTTCCCAGCTCATACGTGCGGTTGTTCCACTCACGGAATTTTAAAATTAGGAAAAACTAGGCAACATAAGGGCAAGCAAATAAATATAAATACTATATTATTTAGGGTTCTCCAAAAAAACAGAACCAACAAGGTGTGTATAGGTATGTAGAGAGAAAGCTTTAAGGAATCAGCTCATATGATTGTAGAGGTACGAGTCCAAAATCTGCAGAGGAGGCCAGCAGGCTGGAGACTCCGGGAAGAGTTGTAGTCCAAGTCCAAAGGCAGTTTGCTGGCAGAATTCCTTCTTGCTTCAAGGAAGTCACTCTTTGTTCTATTAAGGCCTTCAATTGATTGAATGAGGCTCAGACACATAATGGCAAGCAATCTGCTTCATTCAAAGTCCACCAATTTAAATGTTAATCTCATTCAGAGACACTTTTATGGAGACATCCAGAATAACGTTTGACCAAATATCTGGACACTGGCCCAGTCAAGTGGACACATAAAATTAGTCATCACTGTAACCAAAACAAATGTATGGCTATCTAGAAGATAAGAGAAGTATACTTACCTGTGCTCTTATATGTTAAATGTTTATAAATTTATGTACTGATATTTCTATACAATTGTAAAATCATATCTAACATAGTTCAAGGGGTCATCGCTGTCACTGGTCGGTACATTAGTAAAATCCATGTATTTCGATACTTTTGTCTTCAGACTAAAGATTTGTTCTTCTTCTTTGAAAGAGTATGTTAAGGAAGTGGAACATGTAAAGAAAACTACATGGTCCTTTCATGTAACTCCTCGGGTCCAAAACTTGTTCCTGTAATTAGCCAGCACTATGAACTCTGGCATTTCGCTATGTAAACTACGTAATCTGATTTGTGATAATACTAATAATGTTCAACTCATAGGGCCTTCAGGCAGTTTCCCTGAGCTAATGGGACTGCACCCAGCATACTTCCTGGAACTTGATAATGTTTGCTTCCTCCTGCCCCATGTACCATTCTAAAACCGAAAGTGCCAGATCACATTCCTCTGCACACAGGAATCCTCTGACAACATTCCAGACAAAACGAATATTGAACATCATCTGTTTGAATCCTTAACACTGATGAACACTCAACTATGAGAAACTTCCTTTCTGTTGATTGAATCAGACATTCATGCCATCAGCTTCCATTCAGAACAAGGACATTCTATCTTCCACAAAAAGCCTTTCAAATATCTGAAGACAGCGATCATCTCTCTTCTCAGCCTTTCCTTAGTCCGTTTTCACCGCCCTAGTTATTTTAACTATTCAGTGCCCGGCTGCTTCCCACACATGTGACCCGCCCTTCCCTATCTACACATGAGTCATTATCAGCCCTCTTGACAACATGCTCCAAGTGGATTCCATACCTCTCCCCTGATAACAGTGGGATCCTTACCTTTCCTAAACTGCATTTACTCTTGTGTAAATAGAAGTTAATACTGACCTTTTGAATAGCCACATAAAATATTTATAGTAGGAATAGAGCAGCTTTTGTTATATTGATCTTCTACTATGTGCCAAGGAGTATATAATTTTTTTTTCTACAAATTAAATTGTTCAAGACATATGTCTTAATTTAGAAATAATTTAACCTAGTTTCTGTTTCTACCTCTCATTCTGCCTTAATTCAGTTCCTTACCGGTCATGGGGCTTGTTGCTTTCTTCAGCAGAGGAGCTGAAGTGTGGTCTTTGACTTAAACGTGTTGGCAGCTCTCAAGCTGTCTGGTCTCTGGTCATCAGTCCACACAGGAGTTGTCAGTCCTGTTGTGAGGCTTCTCCAGGTTCCAGGCTCTCTTGTCTCCCAGATGGGCCATCATCGTCCATCCGCCTAGTCCCAAGCAGCCCTTCTGTCTCTGGACCTTGACTCCTCTGAGTGGCAAGAAACCACTCGGCTCTTACTCTCAATATGCTCCCCATTTCTCTTTCTTCTCTTCTAAATTGAGAAAGGAGATATAACTTCTCTTTCTTTGCTGTGCCCCAACATTTTATCTATACCCTGACTTCCCTCTGTGCTTTCAGTGCGAAGGTTATGCAATCCTGAAACCTTTTGCTCTTTCCTCAGCCCGTCATGTCCAGGAGCTGTGAGCACACACAAGCTAGAAGCTTGAACAGGGAGGAGAAGGAGAACTAAATAGGGGGGGGAAAGGAAAATAAAAAGTTAATCTCACTAAACTATCATGCTTCCACGAATTC